TTGTTGTTTGTTGTTGTTTGTTGTTTGTTGTTGTTTGTTGTTTGTTGTTGTTTGTTGTTGTTTGTTGTTGTTTGTTGTTGTTTGTTGTTTGTTGTTATTGGTGTTGGTGGTGGTGGTGGTGGTGGTGGTTGGAAGTTGGCGTTTAGCGGTTGGTGGCTGGTGGCTGCTGCTGCTGCTGCTGGTGGTGGTGGTGGTGGCGGCGTAGTTGGGGGGGCGGAGAAGACAAAGTGCACAGACGAGTTACCGAGTAGACAAAGTGCACAAACGAGTTGATGGTCGAATGGCTTCAAAGTGGTGGCCAAGTGCACAGACGAGTTATCTCCGGGTGGCCGGAAATGGTGGTGCTGCGCATTAAAACATCAAAAAAGTGCACAGACGAGTAAGCGCATGAAGTGCGCAGACGAGTTGGGCATCAAGTGCACAGCCGAAGGCGCACTCGCAAGCGCCCAGCCTCCTGACGCCGCTTGAAAGCTGTTGCCAGACTCGCCATCAGTGCGTGGGCGCTCCCCTCCTGCAGCAGCAAGCACACCAATCCCCAAGTGCAGCATGCATGGGTGTTTCAGGCAGTTCTTGCTACTTGAAGTTGCTCGACCCGCAGCGTCAAGCTAAAGGAAACAGAACAAGATCCAGCCACCTGTGCCAAGAACTCAAAGAAAAATGCTCGACACTGCTTGATACCTGTCCTGATGTTGGCGATGGGGCCAATTGGGCGGTCCTGATGCTGTCACCAAATTCGCCACCGGCATAGCCTGGAAGGAAGTGCGGCTTAAAAAGAGAGGTGAAAATTGCAAACGCAGATTCCGGTTCTTTGCATGGCTATCAAACACAGAGGAGTTGGCCCAGATCAGTCGGGGGCCACGAATACAAGTGTTTGCGCAACCCATTTGGGGGGTCGCGCCATGTTGTTGAGGCGCAGCAGCGCTCGAAGGAGGAGGATGGGTGATTCGATTTGGTTTGGTACAGCCGCAAATGCAGCAGGGGGGGGGGGTGCCATTCAGTTAGTTGGGGCTCCCATCCCTTGTTTGAGAGAACTGGTGCCTGGCTGGCACTGTTGATGCCCCCTTTAAACATCCACCACAGGGACTGAAGCAACAAGGGCTAAACAATCATGTGCAAACGACCATGACGCCAAATCGACCACGTGTGCAAACGACCACGAAAGCACACACACACACAACCGTTTTCGCGTCTGAACGCATTGACATGCTCTTGGATGTACTTTTGGAAGTGCGTGAAAGCGTTGCTCCTCATTTGCGCGATGTGCTTGGTTTCTGAAGTCCAAGTCCATCTGTAAGCCCAAATAAGTGGGTTTCATCCTCATTCGCCTGATATTTGCCAAGGGAAGCGCAGCTTGTAAAGATTCGTCGCCCGCAAACTGGTGGTAATGTTGTCAACACCCGGGACAATGCAAGGTTATATTCCAGCACCTCTGCCACTGATGGGCTCTTTGGCGGTATGCGCTGGTGACATGTGCCCTCTTCACTCATGAAAAGTGAGAACCGTGCATCAGCCAGGGCCCAATTGTGTTCTCCACTTGCCAGAAGCCAGTTGCCAGTTTGTCAGCTTCCTGCCTGTCACTCTCTCGAAGGCACCCGGTAGCATTCTTCGCATGGTGTGATGAGGCGCCCAAGGCATTTCCAGTCCTCCGGCCAGGAGATTCACTGCTTCAACCATTGAGTGCCAAGCTATACGCCAAGTTCAGCCAGAAACAATGATTTCCGGCGGCATTGCTTTTCTTGCGGAGGAATGATGGACCAATCATCTTCATCTCAGAAAGAGAGGGAGAGAGAGAGAGAGAGAGAGAGAGAGAGAGGACTAGCTACGCGTTCGTTGGTAGCCTTGCTGAAGACTGCCCTTCATACTCTGTTGATTGCGTTGTTGATTGCACAGTCGAAGTCACAGGATTTCTGGAAAGGGAGCTTTGCGCTGCAAGAGCTATTCTTTTCTCCCTCTTTGCCTTTCCGTGTTTCCTTCCCGTGGTTCTCCAATGATTTGGGTGTCCAAGCGATTGTACGACGCTTCCGCCTGGTTTGGTTTCCTTCAAGGCCATGCTCCCAGTCTTACACTCGTCCGAACAATGAAGAACCCTACAAACAACCCTGAAGATCCCGCGAAAACATGCGGGAGAGTTGTGTCTGTGTTGTTTTTTGAGGAATACATGTTAGTCGCATTGGGCATAGAGTTTTTGGCTATCGCGGCCCTTTACGCGGAGGTAGTGGTGCTGGGGGCGTCAGCTGCAGACCCAAATCAAAGCTTCACCCCCAGACGCCTGGACCATGCGCCAAATTATCAAGTAAATAAGGGGCAAACATTGGGTGCGCATGCAGATAATATGGGGTACACACGGGAAAGATGGGTCAAAGATGTGCTAAATATGAGTAGATAAGGGGTAAAAGTAAATGACAGGTGAAGGCGAAAAAGCCACAACCAAGCCCAGGGGTTCGGGGAATTCACAGTAAGCAACACATGTCAGATGCAGGGCATTTGTTGCTCCCCCCACAAGGATTCCGCCTCACCAGCATCATCCAAGAGTGCCAAGCTCAATACCCCAGCTTGCGCCATCAATGCTGCTGCACGGGGGCGCGCGCGCAGCTGCATTGCTTGTGTTTGCTGGAAGCGCACGCAGGTTTAATCGACAAAGGAAAGCTTTTGTCAGTAGCTGCTGAAGTCAACCCTGCACGCCATAATCAGCAGAACGTGTGGGGCGAAGCCCTTGAACTTGCAAATTGCAACAGCTAGCAGAGGCACAATTGGAGGCTGGACAGCTTAAACTTGCAATGCAAGAAAAAACATGACCGCATCAACGCTAGACAGGCCAATGACAACCCGCCCCGTCCACGCGCGCTGGGCGCAGCTCCATCTGCTTGCTTGCTGGCCACATCAGGGAAAGAAACCCGATCGTCAAACATTGTCTCTGCCTTGGATGGACAATGCTTTGGGCAACCATGGCCTCCACTGCTTTCCCATCAAGTTTTTGAGCGGGCCTTGATAAGCGTGTTCCCAAGCCACCCACCTTCTAAAGCCCAAAGAGTAATAAATGTGGCAAAGAAAAAGCCAAGGCCATGTCTGTGCAAACTTTTCATGTGCTGAAACAGTCAACATGTGCAGCAACTGCCCCTCTGCACCCGCCCAAACTAGCTTTGGACTTTGAAAGGCTCTTTTAACAAAAAGCTCATGTTGTTGCTTGGAAAACTTAAGCGGACCAACAGCAGAGTAACCGCACAGGCAGTGGCAACAGGGCTGGCTCCTAACTGTTTGTTGTCGTAGCTGTGATGGCAGAAGAAGGCAGGGCTATCTCAAATCTTCAGAACTGAGATTTCGGGTTTGGTGAAAGGTCAACATAATTCTGGTGCCCGGCTTGGGGCAAACCATTGCCACGGGCGGTTTGGGTCTGCCTGACATGCCTAAAACACTGAGTGAGTGCTGTTTGCCAAGCTCTGCTCCTTGACGCTAAAGGTTCCATTGCTCAAATGGAATTTCGTAAACTGGGCAACAAAGAGTCGTTGCTGGCCCGAAGTACTGGCCCTGTGACTTTTGCAGGATCCAGGAGCGTTTCGCCGAGGGGCCCGCCAAAGCTCCTGGCCATACGAGTGCTACTTGAAATATCTTGAAGCTCTAGGCTTGCAAATTGCCGCTCGCCGGCAGCTGATTGTATTCGCGCATGTTCATGCTCTGCTTGTTCATACAATCTGCTTCAGCAAAACCACAAGGGGGAGAGCTGGTTTTGTCGTGTTGCACAGCACAGACCTGATGCCAGAAGTAAGCAACGATCAAGCACCCACTCCTTCACACTTCCAGCTGCCGGTGAGGCCCAACCCAAGTCAACACAGCCAAAACGCCATCCACGAATCCTACGAGGCCTCTGCCAATCTTCCAGCAAAAAGTGGGTGACATATTGAGTTCAAACGTGTCTCTGCACAAAGTAAGAATTGTGATGCAATCTGGTTCTTGCAGTTTCTCTTTCGGGTGTGCCTTGATTGCAGGAGATTGCTTCTCTTTGAGTTGTCTGGTGTAGGCTCAAATCAGTTTTGCAAGAGGATTGCAGGTCTGTGTGTGTGTGCATGTTGGTGTGTATATATATATGTGTGTGTACTCACGGTTGCCAGGCCAAAACTCTCATTCTGTTGGGGGAGGGCGGCATGTCGTGCACAATGATGCAACGACCAAGGCCCCCTCCTGTGAACTGTGCTCCTGCGTATAAAGCGCACTTGTCAAAAAGTGCCAAGGCGGACTTCAAACACTTTGCAGTGCTTGAACGGACTTGATACCTGCCTGGCATGTTTCAAGATCGTGTGCGTGTACAAACAGCTGCAGCCAGTGTCAAACTCATGCACTGAGAAAATTGCTTCAAGGAACCCTGTTTCGAGGTGGATGCGTCAGCTTTGACAAGTTGCCCCGCTGTGTCGAATGCATCATGCGCAAACGTCTACAACCACCATCGCATGGTGAATGGCGCCACTCCAACAGCTACTGGAAACGCGCTTGTCACAAGAATGTTCCGGGCAAGCAAACTTGAACAAACTCTCGCGCAGCATGTTTTAAGCCGCAACTCTCCCTTTGGACTTGCCATGAGTCCTGCACAAAGGGTGCAAGCGACCGCCAATCGATTGACTTCCCGAGTCACGCACATGGCTAAAAGGTGGGGGGGAAGTTGGGTGACCCGACACTGCCTTCTCAAAAGAACCCAGAGCCAAAATATGTTTGACACGTTTAAACGGGATCCAAGCAGCCATGTCCAAATGCCTGTTCCAGTGGTTAGTTGGTTGCATCGGCCATCCAATTGTTCCCTGCACGCTCTCAACATCTGAGAGTGATTCTGCGATTCTGTGGAATTGTCAGGAACTCAGGGACGAGCTGGTCATGCAAAGCTGTGGCTCCAGCGTGGATCCCTTAGCTCGAATTCCTCTAGGCTCAAGCCACTTTGCAAAGCAACTTGCCTTGACGACCTACAGAACGCACATCTGGTGCTGCACGGAACATATCAAACCCCTGTGTCAATTCCTTGTTCCACATGCACTGCTACGGTCGTGCCTTTTATTCTTCATGGTTTTACAACTGCGTGTTTGTGCGGGTTGTGTGAGTCAAACAAAAAATACAAATCGGGGAGAGGTTCCTGGGCTCATGCTGAGTTCAACAGCAAATCATCCGCCGACGCCAGTCGAGCGTGTAGACGGCAATCCGCAACTTACTTGCTCTTCCTTTGGATTTTCTGTTAAAGCCGAAGGCTTTTGGGGAGACCATTTCTGGGCAAAATTTGATGGGTGTCCAAAACCCTCTAATTGTCCAGTGTTTTGGGTCTTTGAATGCTTAAAACGCGCGTTTTGACCATGTCTGTGGGGGGGGGGGGGCCACGGCGGGAAGAATCTTCGTTGTTGAATTTGCAGCTGCCAATGGTGTTTTGCTGCTTTGGGCGATGTTGGATTTGGCTTGTTTGGGGTCTGGCAGGGGTTGCTCAAAATGTGTCGTTGTAAAATTCCCACCTGTACAGAGCTGTCGCTGCCCAGCAATATTTCGGGTATTTGAAGGGGGCTGTCGTTCTTGTTTGATGGTTGATTTTGGAAAACATCAAGAAACACCAGTTTTCAGCACGCTGCATCCCAGGCATTGCATTCCCCGCCCTTGCCATCCCTAGTACTTGGCCAATGTTTTGCGTCCGAAGTTAATGACATTTTGGACCGTCTTTCCTTCGGATCTCTGTCTTCGGAGGCCTTGCATTCCAAAGCCAGCAGCCAGATTCCGGCGAAGACGAGGAATTGATTTGATATGAAACAGAGCCAAGCGGGTAAGTTGGCAGTCAGTGGGTTTCGGATTTGATGTGAAGCCTGCAAATCGTTTGTTTTGTGTCTAAGGGCAATCATTTTTGAGTTTCTGAAAAGGGGGGGTTGGTTTCCTTGTGGCTTTTTTATGGCTTGTTATGGTTGGTATGCAACAGAGCCAAGCCGAGAAAAAGCCCGCCTACACATAAGGGCGCTTGAGGGCAAGTAGGCAGTAAGTGGGCCAGGTTGCAACCCAAGAGCTAAACTGGGGCCCCAATCAGGCTTGAAAGCACCAATTTGTCACACCGCAGACGGCGTCGGCGGATCGCGTAGCGATTTCAACAATGAGCTGTTGTGTGATATATGGTACGTCTGTCATTGTTGATGATGTCGCTTCTGGGGACAATGTGTGTGTGCCATAACATTCTACGGAATGTATGCCTTTGCCAGTGACCGCACAGCTCGTCATCTGTCAATAAGCCTTCATCTAGATGCCTTTGCTTTTAAAGTGGTGCTTTAGTGATGCTTGATCTGGTTCTCCCTGACATTCATTTGTTGCGAAGATCTTACCCCTGCGCGGTTTGTCAATTTGCTTTCTGCCAACCCCTTTCCAGGCATCTGCGCCCGCTAACAACCAGTCGTCAAGTGACAGCAATGTTCGGAGGTCATCTCTGAGCTTCAAAAATTGCCGGCGCCTTTCAATTGAGGATCCCCGCAGGATCTGTAATCAACCACGCCCACCGGCAGGCAGTACATGCTCTTTCCATGTGTGGGATTGTGGATGACCTGAGTCAGCGTCTATTTACCAAGTCGCTCCGTAGTTCAAATGTATTTTAGATACTTGCCATGTTGCACTGCTTGGAAAAGACGTTGAGCCCTGCAAAGTACTGACAGGCAGTTGCGCCACCAACTTACTGCCAACGGAGGCCAATTTGGGATCAGCTTACATACCCGCTACCAGAACAATGCGTTGCAAAACACCAACCAATGCCTGTCAGCCTAGCAGTGCCATATTTTGACCAAAGTTTTGAGCCTGGCAAAGCATCTTTGGCCACTTTCACCAAGATTCTCTGTAGCTGACGTTGTGCGACGTGTTGTGTGGTCCCTGGAGGAGCAGAAACAAAATCATGTACCCGCTGCTCCCAGCGTAGCTGTTAGAGACGTTGGCGTCCGTGCTGAAGTACTCGCCCGGACCATGAGCCTGCTCAGCATGCGAGCCACACTCCAAGAAACCAATTAGGAGGCATTGAGGCTTTGTTGCAGGCCTGGCCACTCCGCTTTTGCGGGTCCAAATTGTCCCAGCAAATGCTCTTCACGTTAGCGACAGTGCTCGTGCCATGCCAGGCGAACTCACCTTAGCCAAGCCATTACCATTTGTGCCTCATGCAACCTTCGTTCGGCGCTTGCAGAAACAAAAACACCCAGGAGCCTGACAAGGTTCTTGCTGGAACCAGGGGTCCGCAAATCGAGATGACATCCGCTGCACACACACACACAGCCGCGTGACTCTTTGAGCTGTCCGTCACGCCAAGTGCTGCTAGGCCTGCTTCGAACTTCCGCACGGCAGGGCATGAGGTATCGCCTTGCGCTTCACAAGCTCTCGCGTCGCACTTGCTGGTCAACCACGCCAGAAAACGCAACGCCAAAAACTCGTAAGTTCGAGACCAAGGCCACGGTTGGCATAGAAGACACCTCTCCCCAGCGCTTGTGGCCATACGCGGCCCCTCCAAAGATCAGCCTGCGCCTGTCAAGGGTACCGCGCCAAGAATTACCAGTCGTGAGGGTGTTTGGTGCTTGGTATTAGTTTAGTGAAGAAATTTGCCTTCGCCGAACTCATGTTGTGGAGGAGCACGCTCTGAGAAAGCTGGCATCAGGTCCAACCAATATGCTTGAAGTGTTTTCAAACCAACAAAGCAGCATTCACAGGTAATTTAATCTTTGTCAATTATATGTTTGATAACAAGTGCCTCGGCGTGTGGCAACATACAGCCAATGCTGTGTGACGCTAGGGCCGACCACGCAAAATTTAGGTGCGCATACCCGTGTCTTTTCAGGCAAGCAAGGCAAGCAAGTGAGACAGGTTAGCACAAACGAAATCCAGCCATCTCTGATCTGTATGCAACCTTTGCAAATCCAGCCATCTCTGATCTGGAAAAAACCTTTGCCAATGCCCGTGAAAGAGCGCACTCTCCTTGGTAAAACGAAACAAGATACAACGCGTCAAAGGCTGCATAGCACTGAACCTGTAAAGGCGTGCGCACAATGCCTAGAGCCACAAGTCGACAAGAGAAACCAACTATCTAGTGCACCCTTCATCTGGGCGGGTGGGTGGGCTCCAAAAAGCGACCTACAAGCCGAAAAGGTCACGGCACGCACTGCATACCCGTGTCTTTTCAGGCAAGCAAGTGAGACAGGTTAGCACAAAACGTAATTCAGCAATCTCTGATCTGGATGCAACCTTTGCAAATCCAGCCATCTTTGATCTGGAAAAAATTGAAAGAGTGCACTCTCCTTGGAAAAACGCAACAAGATAAAACATGTCAAAGGCTGCGTAGCACTGAAGCTGTAAAAGCGTGCGCGCAATGCCTAGAGCCACAAGTCGACAAGAGAAACCAGCTATCTAGTGCACCCGTCCACGTCCCCTGTTTGGAGGCTCAAGGGAGCTAACACGTTGCCAATGCGAATAGAACTTGCCGTTCATCTGAAAATTTTGCTCTGTGAGCAAGGCCATGGAATCTTTAATGTAGATTCGAGTTGTCCTTTCTGAAGCCCAACGGCCATGTTGAGTGACAGTTGAAAAGGAGTGGCAGGTCCGGAAAAGTTCCAAGTTCCGTGGCTCCGCCCCTTATAAGGGAATATGGTTGGAACTGGTGAGGTGGCTGGCATAGGCACCAAACTTGCACTGCCAGCGTGACAACGTTGTAGTCACTAATCGTCACCAGGCGAGTGGCAGGATGAGTCCTCTTTGGATTCGTGGAGTTGCACAAATGCCTTTGCATTGTTGTGAGCAAACATGATGTCAGCGGCTTTCACTGCAAGCAACTCACCGGTGCGAAGCAAACCACGAAAAGCCACTTGGGCAGCAAGTCCCAGCGAAGGACTCTGCAAGTGCAAAGCTCGTGACACAATGTCCAAAGTCTGAGGGGTCAGCGGCGGCGCCCTTGCAGGCACTTCCAAACGAGACCACGTTTTCAACGCCTGCCAGCTTTGAACTAATTTGCGGCGCAATGTAGGCTGGTGATATTGCAAACCACACACCGTGTCAGCTGCCAAGCAACAGCTCTCGCCGCACTCTCGTCCACAAGTTCGGGATCCTTAGGCAAGTGTACTCTGTGGCGCGCCAGGTAGTTGAGCCAGGCGCACGCTGCCTTGTCATATCGCCACAGTGAGCTCCTTACGAGTACCCAACGCTTTCCGCTGCTTTGATTTCCGCTTTTGCGGGTGTCGGGAAAGCCTATCCGCGGGGTTGTCAGCAGTGTCTACATAAGCCAAAATGGGGGACAAACCAGCAGCAAGCACCAAGGCACACAAATGGCGCATCAACTACCGCATTTTGCGACTGCTTGACCGACCTTTATTGACAATGTGAAGGCTGACCACGCAGAAAACGCGGTTGGCGCATACAGAGCTCTGAGCTCTAGCTTGTTTATGTGCTCTGGATCTTGTCCGGGGTTCTGACGCCAACCGCAAATGGTTGCCATTGCCACAACTTGGAGCTTAGGCCCGGAAGGCAGGCAAAGGCTTGCTTTCAGGTGTCACAAAGCGCATCGGAACCGTGCACCGAGATCAGTTTCGCCATCAAGGCTTGGCTCCTCTGTGGCCTTTTAGCGTACGGAAAGAGGAAACTGCTGAGAGTCCGACCTCCACCTGGTTTACAAGCATCCGCAATCCCCACCAGGGTGAGATCACGACAAAGCCGGAACGGTCTGAGCAAATGTTTCAGCAGAAGCGCAACCGCTGGGAGGGACCATGAGTTTCCGATCTGAGTGTGGCGCACATCGTCTACCCGGTTAGGCTCTTGTTTCCGGATAAGTTTGCGGCAACAGTTTGCGGTGTAAACTGCGAAAACCAATTAAGGCATCTTTTTCCTCAATTCTTGGCACGTGCCACCCTTTGACAGGATGAACAATTAAGTCCGTGCTCATGCTTTTGTATTGGTATGGAGGGAAGCGGAAACGATCAGACCCCCAATGGTTCAATTCCCGCTGGCTCCAACCCTGGGCTAAGTTTGGGCTGGGATGTAGTGAACGTCGGAAGGCGCTGCTTCGCACCGCCTGCTAATTTCCACTGAGAAGGTAGCCAATCCTTCTCCAACAGCTTCACTGTTCCAGCAATCTTGCCCATCGCATCTTTCTTGTTAGAACCAGGCAGCGTGATGGAGATGCCGTCTTCGCTCTTGACAACCCAATCAAACCAAAAGAGACGCGGGCGACGCGCAAGCGAGAACCCCCTTGCATCAACCTCATATGGAAGAACGTCTGCCAGCGCAGTGTATTGCTCACGGTCGTGTGCATCCATGCTGGCCACAGACTCCATAAGGAAATGAACCTTGCCCAAGGAAATTCAGTCGTCAGCAAAGCACGCGCACGCCCCATTTCATGGCACAAGCAAGAACGAGGATCGCACGCAGCCCCGCGCCGGCTAGCATTCAACTTGCTTGCCCCTTGGCAAGGCGGGCCACCGGCTAACAGCACCATGCCCACTCCTTCACGCGGTCTTGGGTTACTTGGGCTGTTTCCTCCAAGAAGATGCACCCATAGAACGCGACTCCACGGTGCGACGGCAATCTTCATCCTTTTCCACTGAGACATAACCATCAACTGGGACCCAAAGCAACCCGCAACGCGCCGTCAAACAAGCTCACAACCAAGATTCGACGATCATCAGGGACTGAGTCATACTCCCCTCTCACCGGCAGACTCAGTGCGGCCAGCCCTCTGCCAGCCAAGCCATGGGACACGCAAAGGCCTTCGTCTTTCTTGGCATCATAGACCCGACGAAAGTTCATGCTTGCAAGGGCAAAATCTTTTGCTTCACACGGAGAGATATGACCGATTGACTAGAAGGATGTAATAAAGGTCCAGATTTCATTCATGGCACGCATGATCAACCAACGGTAGCTCACAGCGCGCACCAAACCCCCGCCACTACCTGAATTTGCTTTTGGCGGCACTTCTGCTGCGATAGCAACCATTTAGAAGCTCAGTAGCGAGCACATCATGCGACGCCTGGGGCAGGGTGGCTGTCCACGCGCTGAATCGGTTGGCGTGCGGGGACGTTTCACTATCAAACGCGCCGATATGCACTCCAGTGCAAAACACGCGTTCCCCTCCCAATGAGGCGCCTAAGCTTTTTTGGCATGTGAACTCTTATGAGGAAGTGCATCTTCTGACGTTTGTCTTGGCGGAGCAAAGCACTACATTGATAACCCCAATCAGACAAAAGATCCCTGAAACTGATTTGGCCTTCCCGGTGTACCTTGACAACTTTGACACACTCACTAAGACCAGCAAGGAAGCGGCAGAACTCATTGAAGACACCAGCTCAGAGGTTGTCAGTTCACTTTTGGCCGAACACAAGAGTCAGACGGTTCCACGGAATGCCAAGAAATCGATCGCCCAACAGCGACAGGCTGCAGCGCAAGGGGCTTGATCGATGGGGTAGCTGGGCGTGCAGCCGCCAAACCTGAAAAATTGTCGGGGGCTGGGAGAGGGAAGCATGTGTCCCCCCATCCCGTGAAAACTCACCTGCTTGCCTAGGTGTATGTGGAAAGATCTTGTCTCGCATCCCAAAAGGCTCTGCGCTGGCACTGTACAAATCCGAGCAAGAAGACGTCGCTCGAAAGCCAGGCAAAGGGGCCGACATCTGGTCGAATCCTCATCGGAGGAGGAGAGGATTGTGACATCTTCTCCTCCTAAGCTTTCAGACGAAATGGTCACTGAGGACGCCTCACTTCTGTGTGAAGAGCTCTCCTTTGCCTTGCCCTTTTCTTTTTCTTTGCCCTTGCCGGGCTCCATCGAGGTTCCCAGCTCTGCTCTTGCTGAGGTTGCGGCGTGCTCGACCGGCCCCATGATCTGCCAAGCAGGCAAAGCATTTGCCTGATCTTGTTCAACTTGAGCTCTCCTCTGACGAGGTCGATGAAAGGCTTCTGGAAGCCTTCTTCGCTGACCTCTTCTTCACTTTCACTTGCGGGGGCTTGATGGTGGGATCCAGCACTTTCCTTCTTCTCCATGTCTCTCTTGGCTGCTTTCTCTCGAGCCCTTCTCTGCTTCTTTCTTTTGTTTGCCCAACAGGTTCTCCTCGGCGCCTGCTCCTGCTTTGACCAGACCACCTCCTGTCTCTTCGAAGCCCATCTTCCAAGCCACTGCCTCCAGGCCTGTGTCTGCTGCGCCTTGGTCCGTGGGACACTCCCCACATTGCATTCGCAAGGCGGTGCTCGAGGAGCTCCGCCGGCCGTAGAACAACTCCGGAAGGTTTTCTTGGTTGCCAAGGTCGACTCATGAAGATTGCCTGGCCCTGATCTTCTGCGCGCGTCAGAACAAAGCTCCTCAAGCCCTTGCACGGGGTGCCGCACAGGCAGAGCTTCAGCCGCAGGCCCGCTGTGTTTGAGACATACCCGCCCACCCTCGCTATGATCTTGCTGGCCTCCTTCCGATACTCTCCAGTCGCGTGGGTGCAGTTCCTGATGGCAATCTCGCCCTCGTTGATGCAACCAAGGATTCGCCATCCGTCTTTGTCTTCTGC